ATTCAATCTGTATGCTGTGCATATAATCTAAGAAGCTGTATTATATGAAGAAGAACATGGCATCAGGATAGGAGGAAGACTCATTACAACCTGTGATATGCAGATGACACAAGTCTGCTAGCTGAAAGTGAAGAAGACCTGAAGCTTTTGCTAATGAAGATGAAAGACTACAAACTTTAACATAAAGAAAACAAAAATCCTTACAACTGGTCCAATAAACAATATCACAATAAATGGAGAAGAGATAGAAGTTGTCAAGGATTTAATTTTACTTGGGTCCAAAATCAACACCCATGGAAATAGCAGTCAAGAAGTCAAAGGACATATTGCATTGGGCAAATCTGCTTTAAAAGATCTCTTTAAAATGTTTAAGAGAAAAGATGTCCCAAGCCATTGTCTTTCCAGTAGCTTCATACGTATGTGAAAGGTGGAAAATGAATAAAGAAGACTGTAGAACAATTGATGCAGTTGAATTATGGCATTGGTGAAGAATATTGAATATAGCACAGACTACCAGAACTGATCGATCTTCATCCATTTCAGGAAGTGGCATATGATCTAGAACCAATGGTAATGAAGGAAGAAGTCAAAGCTGCAATGAAAGAATTGGCGAAGAACAAGGCTCCGGGAATTGATGGCATACCGATTGAGATATTTCAACAAACAGATGCCCCATTGGAGGCGCTCACTCAGTTATGCCAAGAGATTTGGAGGACAGCTACCTGGCCAACTGACTGGAAGAGATCCATATTTGTGCCCATTCCAAAGAAAGGTGATCCCACAGAATGTAGAAATTATAGAACAATATCACTAATATCACATGCAAGTAAGATATTACTGAAGATAATTCAGAAACGTTTGCAGCAGTATATTGACAGAGAACTTCCAGAGGTTCAAGCCGGATTCAGAAGAGGACGTGGAACAAGGGATATCATAGCTGTTGTCAGATGGATCTTGGCTCAAGGCAAAGAATACCAGAAAGATGTTTACTTGTGTTTTATTGACTATGCAAAGGCATTTGATTGTGTGGATCATGACAAATTATGGATAACATTGAGAAGAATGGGAATCCCTGAGCACTTGATTGTACTCATGAGGAATCTGTACCTTGACCAGGAGGCTGTCGTTCGAACAGAACAAGGGGACACTACATGGTTTAAAATCAAGAAGGGAGTGCGTCAGGGTTGTATTCTTTCTCCACACTTATTCAATCTATATGCTGAGCAAATAATCCGAGAAGCTGGACTATATGAAGAAAAACGTGGTATCAGGATTGGAGGAAGAATCATTAACAACCTGAGATATGCAGACGATACAACTTTGCTTGCTGAAAGTGAGGATGACTTAAGGCACCTAGTGATGAAGGTTGAAGAATACAGTCTGCAGTATGGATTACATCTCAACATAAAGAAAACAAAAATCCTCACAACTGGACCAATGAGCAGCATCACAATCAATGGAGAGAAGATTGAGGTTGTCAAGGAATTCACATTGCTTGGTTCTACAATCGATGCCAACGGAAGCAGCAGTCAGGACATTAGACGTCGTGTAGCATTGGGAAAGTCAACAGCGAAGGAACTGTTTCAAGTGCTGAGGAGCAAGGATATCTCCTTGAGGACTAAGGTGCGCCTGACACAAGCCATGATATTTCCAATCACCTTGTATGCATGTGAGAGCTGGACAATGAATAGGGAAGACCGAAGAAGAGTTGATGCTTTTGAGTTGTGGTGCTGGCGAAGAATGCTGAAAGTACCATGGACTGCTAAAAGAACTAACAGATCTGTCCTGGAGGAAGTGCAGCCAGAATGCTCCTTGGAAGCAAGAATGGCCAGACTTCGTCTCACCTATTTTGGTCATGTTGTAAGAAGGGAGCATTCCCTGGAGAAGGATGTCATGCTTGGTAGGGTGGAGGGTCGACGAAAGAGGGGGAGGCCTTCAACGAGATGGATTGATACAGTGGCTGCGATGATGGGCTCGAGTATAGCAGGGATTGTGGGGCTGGTGCGGGATCGGGCAGTGTTTCGTTCTGCTGTGCATGGGGTCGCTATGAGTCGGAAACGACTCGACAGCACTTAACAACAACAACACCACCAGAATAACAAACAAGTCTATCTTGGAGGAACTTCCAAGATAGTACAGCCAAAATGCTTTTTGGAGATGAAGATGGTGAGACTTTGGACATGTTATTGAAAGGGATCAGTCCCTGGAGGACACTGCCATTGGTAAAAGTAGAAGGTCAGCGACAAAGAGGAACACTCCCAATGAGATGGACTGATACAGTGTCTGCAACAATGAACTCAAACATGATTGTGAGGTTGGCACAGGACTGAGCCATGTTTTCTTCTGTTGTGCAGGCTCACCGTGAGTCAGAACCAACTTGTTGGCACCTAACAACAGCAACAATTCTCTCTCTTTTTCTTTCTTCCTCCCCTTGTTCCATCCTTTGTTCTTTCCTTCCTCTTTTTTTATATTCAACAATTTTCTTAAGATTTAATTCACATACCATAAAATTCACCTTAGTAAAGCGTATAAGTTTGAAGTGTATAATTGATCTCCTTCCTTAGGGATCAACTTTCAACCAAATAATGGTCAGGCCTATAAAGTGAACAATAACACCAGGGAGGAACGTATTCCTAAGAACAGTCAACCATACAAAAGCAAAACCTCAGCATTTACCCAAGCACCAAGCTCAGAAGGCAGAAAGGACAGGGAAGAAGGATGAATAGAAATGAGAATCACAGGGAGGAAGTGGGAAGAGTGCTGTTATGCTGTGGGGATTGCAACCAATGTCATGGAATAAAACGTGTATGAATTGTTGAACGGAAAAATAAAAGTGAATAATGCAGTGATTTTTAGTATACTTATAGAGTTGTACAGTCAGCAGCACTATCTAATTTTAGAACATTTTAATCATCCCAAGAAGAAACCCTGTTTGCACTCTCCCTTTCCCCACCCCTCCTCAGTTCTTGGCAATTGCTAATCTGGTTTCTGTCTCTCTGATTTGCCTATCCATATAAATGGAATAATATGATATGTGGTCTTTTATTTTTGGCTTCTGTCACTTAGCATAATGTATTCAAGGTTTATCCATGTTGTAGCATGTATCAATACTTCATTCCTTTTTATTACCAAATAATATTCCATTGTGTACTATACAACATTTTGTTTATTTATCAGTGGACAGACACTTGGGTTATTTCTTCTTTTTAGGTATTATAAATAATGCTGCTATAAAAATTTTTGTATAGACATATGCTTTCATTTCTCTTGGTTATATACCCAGGAGTGGAATTGCTTGGTCATAACATTTTAAATTGCAAAACTGTTTTCCAACATGGCTGTGCTGTTTTACAGTAACACTAGCAAGGTACAAGAATTCTAATTTGTCCACATCTTCACCAATGCTTATCTGCCTTTTTGATTATAGGATTGAAGATAGATTTATGATTCATTTTGAAATATCTTTTTGAGTGTAAAGTGATAGCTTACTGTGGTTTTAATTTCTATTTTCCCAGTAACTAAAGATACTGTGCATCTTTTTATGAGTTTATCGGCTATTTGTGTATCTTCTTTGGAGAAATGTCTATTTAAATCCTTTGTCAATTTTTAATTGAGTTTTTGTCTTTTTCTTATTGAATTGTAACAGTTCTTTTATATGTTCTGGATATAAGTTTCTTATCAGATACTGCATTTGCAAATATTTTGTTTAATTCAGTGTGTCTTTTCACTTTTTGATGGTGTCCTTTGAAGCACGAAATTTTTAATTTTGATGAAGTCCAATTTGTCTTATTTTATTTTTTCATTTGTCACTTGTGTTTTTGTTACTGTCTCTAAGAAATCATTTCCAACACAAAGTTGCAAAATATCTCCAGTGTTTTCTTCTAAGAGTTTTATGTTTCTGATTCTTTTTTTAAAAAAAAAAATTTATTGTGATTTGGGTGAAAATTTACAGAGCAATCTCATTTTCCATATTGCAGTTCACATACACTTTGTCTCATGCATTGATCGCAATTTCCCACAATGCAACAGCTCTCTTCCTACTTCCTCCCCATAGTTACCTCTCCCCTGTGTCCTTTCCTCCCATGCACTCCTGTGCCCTGAGCTGTCTCCCTGTGCATACACAGCCCTTCTGTTCTCCCATGATTGATCTCTTGTTTCTGATACATTTTGAATTAATATTTGTATATGGTGTGAGGTAGGGGTCTGATGTCATTCTTTTGTATGCTGATACCCACTTGTTCCAGCACCGTTTATTGAAAGATACTTCTTTTTCCACTGTCATTTATTTTTAAAGTATTTTCATGGCTTTTTGCTTTGGGGCTGAAGTAGAGAGTCTTTGCTTTTTAACTTAATTTCAAAGGGGAGTTCAACCCATTTGTATGTGTTATTATTGCTCATATATTAAATCTTGCTTTTGAAATATTGTTTAGACTGCCCAGATTTTTATGCTTTTGTTTTATTACCTCTTTGTGTATAACCCTTAAAAAAGTGAATACTTTCATTCAGGTCTAAAGAGTAAGTGCTTTTGTCTATTTTAATTCTTCTTGCTAATAGTAAGAGATTCTCAATAATACTTATTTTATAAATTACATATAACAGCAGTGTCATTATTTGAGAGTCATACTTCAAGCACATTAAATATGGGCTTACTGTTCACCAGTGTACTTTCAGATTATTTGGTTATGAGTTTTTCAAGAATTTGCTTTCAAAACTGAAAATCTCATATTAATGTATGCTAATGAGTCGGCCGACTCGACGGCACATAACAACAACAACAACAACAATGATAAATATACTAAACATATAAATGTAATTCCATTTGTGATCATGCTGCCAATTTTTTCTTGGCAAAATCATTCCATGCTTGAAATATGTAAAATTCTGAGGTTCAACAACAACAAAAAGCAAGATAATATTGTTTAACATCACCACAATTCTGCAAATACAAATGAAGTTCAAGCTCTTGAAATGTAGTTTTCTGTTTTCACACATCATTATAGGAAGCATATTCTTTAATTGAGAAGACTGAAGCAGAACAAAATGCTCTATATTTATATCAGAAAGACTTGGAAAACTTGAAAAGAAAGAAAAGCAGAATCCCTCCTCCACCTATCCTGCTGTCGCGAACTCATTGTTCGGTGACGTTCAAACCTGCTCCGTTTATTTCAGATGTCAAGGTATGATCCATTATGATCTTTACTTTGTGCAATGGTTGATACTTTTATTGTTTTTATGACTGAATTAGATTTTTGTCTTAATTATAAACAGTGAACACATAGTGTTGGATCAACAACATGTCATTTGATGTATATCAAAGAGAGTTCCTTCTTGTATTCTCTTCAGGTGTTCTTCTTGAACTTGCATAATCTGGGTATGGTTGAAAGGGCAGAGGCTTTGGAGACAGATATATAGGTCTAAAATTCTAGAAAGTAAATACCCTTCCTGAGTTTTATTATTTTGTTTTCATTTGTAAGGTGGGATTACGTGAAAATTAAATGAGATAATATATAACATATATGTTGCCAAGTCTGCTTAAAACAATGGAGGGAAGTTATAGACTGGGATAACTTATTATATTATTACTATATTACATGTTACATTATTGTATTATTCAGTAATTTTATTCCAGTATAATGGCAATTTTTATTTAACTATGCATTCTAAAATATGTAACAAGCACATCTAGCTCAACTGTGTCATATTTACAGAGATGGAAAAGAATTATATATAAGCAAATGAAAAATGTCATAAAATTGCCTTTAAATATCTATTTCCACTCCAGTTCTTCAGCTCTAAGTATGCCCATCCAGTCCCTTTCCTTCCTCCAAAATGTGATAATCCCCGCCACACCCTAAATCCAATTTCCTGCTTATACCCTATTCTTTTCCACTAGGTAAGACAGCCTCTCCCTCATCTTTCACATGCAGAAAAAAGTAAGCTGTCAGTCTCCATTTTGCAACATCATAGCCAACAACCATTTTAGTAAATTCCAGGCCCATTATAGGACTCTTCTAGAGAGAATTATAAAGAATACCAGGTTTTGTACATCTTGTGATTAGAAATAATTAATACCTGTCCTACGATCAGAGGTGTAAAAAGGAGCTACTGTCTCTCCCCAAGCCCCAGGAAACATCATATTCAGTGCTGTGTTGCAGAAATTTTGCCTTTTCATCTGCCCTTCAGACAACTGGAGATTTATTTTCTCAAGATGATACAATGAAGATTTTTGGCAACAAGGGTTCAGCCAGTACATGGGACATATCAGACTTCATCAACATTAAGAATATTTTCTTATCACAAAACACCAATAAGAAAGTGAATGGCAAGTCATAACCAAAAACCAAACTCACTGCCATTGAGTCAGATCCGACTCATAGTGACCCCTCCTTGGGTTTCCGAGGCAGTATCACTACAGAAGTAGATTGCCCAATCTTCCTT